ATTTTGGTTTCGCGTTGCGTTTTTTATTTCGCGTTGCGATTCTCTCGTTGCGATAGTTATTTCCGCGTTGCGATTTTCATTCTCGAAACTATTCTTCTTCTGCATTACTTCAACCAAAAGACAAAACAAAGACAAATACTAACTTCACAGGCTAAACAGTTTAGCAGTATTGGCAGCAATCGAATGAATTTAATAAGAAATCTAAGTGAAATGGTTAATCTATTATTGAAATTACCAGTAAACTTATCATCAATCTCAATATGAAAAACCTAAAATAATGCAAAAATTTCAAAATAAAAATAAAAAAAACTAATCCTCGGAGGTTGATTTTCCATTTCTGAATGATTGTGAGGGATTTTTTACTGTGAATGGTTGTGAGGGATTTCCCCGGCGATGGGGACGGAAATCTTCGGAGATGGGGATGGATTTCGCCGTAGAGAGTGAGAGATGGAGATGGGATTGAGTGTTGTGATTTTGGCTTTGAGGTTATGAGTTGCGATTACTGTGGACGGTTCAGTTTCCGATTTATTAAGAAAAAATTCGTGTTTGGAATTTGAAAAAAAAAATACGCGTTAATACGAATGGCGCTATGTAAATCGCGTTGCGAAAGTCAGAATCGCGTTGCGAAAGTCAGTATCTCGTTGCGATTTTGTATTATCGCATTGCGATAGTAAGTATCGCATTGCGATAGTCAGTATCGCATTGCGATAGTCAGTATCGCATTGCGATTTTCCCAATTCGCGTTGCGATTTACTTATTCGCATTGCGAATTGGGAAAATCGCAACGACACTGTAGACCATCGCAACGCGATTTCCAACTATCGCAACGCGAAATGCAACGCGAATTTGCGATAATGGAGATCGCGTTGCGAATTAACGATCGCATTGCGATTTTGTTGGTCATTTTGGCAAATCCGGAAAAAGTTGGTTAAAATCGTATATTATAAGTCATTTTTGGTCACTGAGGCGATTTTCTCTATAAAAAAACTTGAGTAAATGACATTATTTTTTTATTGAATTTTACTATCTCTCTTATTTTATTCATTATTTTGTTTTAATTTACTTGTTGAATTTTTGAATTGTTCATGTTTTAATTGTTATGAATTATTTTATTATTATTTTCATAGAATGAATTATTTTATTATTATTTTCGTATAATATGGTATTTTTATTATCTAATATAAAATATAAAATAAAAACAGAAGTTGGTGATTTGCTATTTGTCGATGTTGGATGCCACCACCAGCCTTCGTTAATCATCGTAGATAGTGGTTGCTGAGTCTCAAATTTTATGGTCAATTTGCCTCGACACCCTCAATTTGAATCCGACCTCCATTTTGTTGGAACTTGTTCCGAAGTCCACGAATTGGAGATTAAAAGTGAGGAATCCAAAATGTTTCAGTCAAAATTCATGGGTTTTAGGATATTTTCCTATGAAACAACCACTAGATTCTGACTCAGAGAGTCGAGGCAAATCGACCCATAAAATTTAGGACCGAATGACCTCCATCTACGGTTGTCGATGGCGACCAATAGTAGCATCCAACATCAACGAACAGTGGACAGTCAAATTCTAATTTTATTTTAAATTATTTTTATATTAAATAATAATAATAAAATACCAAATTATATGAAAATAATAATAAAATAATTCAGATAGATCAAAACATGAGCAATTCGAAAGTTTAATGAGTAAATTAAAAAAAATAAAAGTACAATTAGTGAAAAAAGGAGAAAGTAAAGTTCAATGAAAAATGATGTATTTTACTCAAAAATCTTTAATGAGATAATTTTAAATTTTCAAGATACGATGATCACACTCATCTCTGTAGATCTATCCATGTATATACTTAGTGGGTGGAAGGGACCAGATTTAAACATACGTGTATAATTTCTTTCTTTCTTTCTTTCTTTTTTTTTTAAAAAAATACATAGTTCCAGAGTCACGCATATGTGTAGACTATATTATTTAAATCTAAATAATTAATGGAGGACAAAATTTTCTAAACCTAGAATCATTTCAAGAGTATAACAGGGTTGGATATAAAATAAATATTGTTATATTCAGTACGAACCTAGTAGTCTTCTTGGTAAAGAAATTACTATTTGTAGACACTCGTTTTGTCCGGGTATAAAAAATATTTAATTATATTATTATTATTATTATTATTATTATTATTTACAAGTTACATTTTTTTGTAGGTCATTACAAGCCAAGTATAATCAAATCAGAGACCTTTAACCCGAAGCCCACCAAGTGACTAGATTACAACCCAACCCAGCTGAAGTTCAGACTCGAGGACCCAAACTGGCCCAGTTTGATAACCCGATTCACCATAGGGTTTCTAAAACCCTAAAGATATATTTTCGCCACCACTGCCATTGCCGAGTCTCTCATCACAGCCCGACACCCTGACGCCGTCATTCCATCAGTATCATCTGTCAGTCAAAAGAAAACATATCAACAGTCATAGGATAAATAAAATAAAAGGGAGAACAAATCAAACACTATCTCGAGGAAAATCAGGTTTGTGAATCTAGGGCACTCAAACCCTATTTCGTGGGAAAATGAAGCCATCAGAGGGGGAGATAAAAACGAAACCAGTGAGAGAAATGAAAAAAAGGGAAACATTCGGGAGGAAAAAAAGAGAGCTCGAACAAAAAAAAACACAGAGAGTCAAACCAAAACAACAAAGCTGAGAGAGAAAAAGGAAAATAAGGAGAGAATCGTACCTCGTTTGGAGATCTGGAAGCCCAAAGGTCATCATCTTTCAAAATTTTCAAAGGTTAAAAACCTAGATCTAGATCTAGGACTCTAGGGGGGATTTTAGGTTAAGGGGGTTGAGTTTTGGGTTGAGGACGTAAAGGGGAGGTTTTTGGGACCGTTTGCTCCCTCCGGCCGCTGTGAGCGCTGCCGTAAGCGCCATCGGCGGCGGCGTTTGATACCTTCACCGATGAGAAAGTTGAGAGCATCTCTTTGTTTTTTTTACTGAAATGAGAAAATAAAGAAGGGTTAGGGAAGAAAGCCTTATTTTGGGCTTATATAATACATCCAAAATGACGTCGTATAAGGGGAAGGGGTTCAGAGTGTTTTCGATTTAGGGGATAATAACACCCTAGGTTCCTGCCTTTTGTAATCTCACCCGTATTTTTCAATTTTTAAGGAATCACAATTTCAGTCCTTTCTCCTTTGTAATATTTTATTACATCCATTTAATGAAGTTTTGCTTTATTTGATTTTGAGCACTGATGTTTTAATTCTTATATTTTAGTCACGTTCTTGCTTATTATGTTAATTTTGTCGATATTCGAATTTGGCCATGACATTTGTACATATTTTATTTTAGTCATTCTTTGGTATTTGGTTTAATTACTGTTTGGTCCTTTATGTTTTTGTTTATTTCATTTTAGTCCTTTATATTATTTATGGGTTATTTTATTACTAGACCATGTAATGTTTAATATTTTTGATCTTGGCTCTGGTTTTTTTATTTACTGTTCAACCCTTCAAATTTATTTTTTTGCTATTTTAGTCCTTTAATTTTATTTTTTTTGCTATTTTAGTCCTTTAAGTTTCTATTATTTTTATTTTGGTCCCATAAATCATTGAATGAATTTATTTTTATTGTGTGTATTTTAATCCGTAATGTTATCTAATGTGTATTCTAGTCCTTTATATTTAATATATATTTTGTATATTGTGTAATTATTTGTATTATATTAAATAATTATTATTGGCTTTACTTGTTGTAAATATTTTATTTTGCATTATTACAATCGCATTTTTTAACTCTAAGATATTGTTCACTTATTAAGGAATTAATAATATATCTCACACAATTATGCTCCGGGGGTGACTACTGGTGATTCTCGAAATAAGTCAGTATCCTTTTCAATACTGCATCATGATTTTTAAAATTAAGGCAATGTCCAGTTATAAGGCACAATAGCTGATCTCTCGAATTTACGCTTGGGGACCGAATGTTATCGGTCTCAATAAACGAATACCCTTTTCAACTTTACATCCATAATGATTTTCAAATTAAATAAAGTCCGAACTCAAAATTTTTGATTTTAAATATAGGGTAATTGACTAGGTACCAATTCTTGGGTGCTTGTGGGGGTGCTAATCCTTCCCCACACATAACTGAATCTCTAACCCGGTTTCTGGATTTTTGCAGACCTCAAATGATATGATCGCCAATAGCAAAGACTCGGAGAAGTACCCAAGTGGCTCCATAACACGAGCAAGGGCTAAGGAGTTTCAAGCAGCCATGGAGACTATGTTTACATCAAGTTTGGAACGTGATGAAGGAGGAATAATAAGGGAGGAACACTTTACATTGTTTATGCATGAATTTTCATGAGAATTTAAAGTTTTCATAACATTCATTGCATTTAATAAGTGCGATGTTCATTCAAGCATGCATTGTATTTAAATAATCTAGTTCATTTAGGGAAGTAGTTCATTAATTAACCTAGTTCATTCATCAAACTAGTTTTTTTATTAAATTAACTCTTAATTGTTTCATGCATATTTTCAATTAAATATTGAATAAAGTTCACCTTTGTGTCTAGGTGCATGAGAGAAGTTGAATGGTTTCATCATATGCAAGAATGTCAGTCAGAATGTCTTCCAATTCTGGATACGATATAGATGTGTTTGGTTCTAGAAATCAATTGGAAATTATTCCTCCATCTCTTAGGTTTCCAATGCCTTTTGAATCACCTTAATCCGATATCGGGAACTTGAGATATGATCGATTTATTGAAGACAGTGCAGGCTGGAATTTTGTTACGGGAATTTTATGCATGGATGATTTGGATGAGTTTGAGCCAAGGGAGAGTCTTTTCAACTTCATCCTAGTGACAAGCCATTGAAGGACTCTTAATTCACCCATTCAAGGCTTTCAAAGCTGATTGTTATCATCTAAGTTCAAGGGTTGTTCATATTCTTCAAGGGAGTATGCAATGAAGGGTGATTTAATTCACTTGTTAAGACAATTTTCCGAATGGAATAGCAAGATTCTTCCAGCCCTTGGACGAAATTAAGGTCAAATTCAGCTTCAAATTGTCTAGATTCATCCCCAAAATGATCTAGAATATTATCCAACCTTGAAGATAAGAAGACAAAGCATTCAAGTGCATTTTATTGTTAAATTGATGATAACGTTTTCATCTTTTGAGTCTTTTCATATGCTGCTTAGAAACACATTAAATAGACACCTTTGGGATCATTTGTAGACATACATTTGAATATATAAAACATCTTTGAGAAATTTCTTTTATTCTTGTTCTCTTGTAGAACTTTATCGGCTTCAAGATAGCCTTTTTGTCTTCATCCATTTCCTTTTGTTATAGCGTTGGTTCCTAGTTCATCTATAGCCAGTGGATCACGTTCCATCTACTTCCACTTTGATTCCATCTATTTATATTGTTGGCTCCTAACTTCATATAGTTAGAGGGTCACAATCCATTTTCTTTTCAATCCATCTTTTATATTCCACGCCATACCTTCGCCATACTATCATTACATCCAAACTACAACTTCCATCATCTTCCGTTAAAAGCAAGTAATTCAATTTCTTACTAGAATCACGATTGGGCAATCATATATATGATTTGAAATTCATAATCGAGATCATATCATTAGGCATCAGAGCTAGCCGATTCAATAAGCGTATCGTTTCATTTTCTCTCTCTAGGGTTAGTAAAAAATAAAAAAATCAAGAACAAATAAAAATAATAAAAAAGCAAAAGAAAGAAAAAAGTTTAAAGAGGGAGGGAGTAATTCTTTTCATATTTAAAGAAAAAAAATATTTACTTCATCTTTATATTCAATTATTCAATTTTGTTACCTTTACTTACCATCTCTTTTCCTTGTAGCCAATTTCTTTTCACTATCATTACTACCAAGCCACAATTGTTTCAGCCGAAGTCAACTAGACCTTGTAAGCCTTGAGCAAGTTCCCAAAAGGACTTGAAATCAAAGAACGAGTGGTAAAAGGCAAGAGTGATCATTAAGGGTAAAAGCCATCCCGAGTGAAACACGAGTGGGAGTGACTTTTCTAGGAGTGTTTGGTGAGGTTTTTTTTGTGAGGTTATTTTATTATTACTAATTATGTCTCATCATTCGGGAGACAATTCTCAAGTTACAGGTAACGTTGAACCAAACCTACAAATTCAAGTCATGGTGTGTGAATTGACCAAGATTTTGAGGGAAGAGTTGTAACCTTTCCATGAACGTATTGACTGTATTGAAGAAGAGCATACTTAAGGATTCTGAGATCAAGAATATGCCAATCAAGGAGGAAATGAAGAAGTGAAAAGACCAGAAGAAGATCATTCATCTCAATAAAGAATGAGAAATCGAGGTATATGGCCCCAAAGGTTTCGTCCATTAATGGATGATAATCTTGTTAATATCAAGATTTCCATTCCACCATTCTAAGGCAAGACAGATCCTGAGGCTTACCTAGCGTGGGAAAAGAAGGTAGAGCACATCTCGGGTGCCATGATTATTCCGAACTCAAGAAGGTAAAACTCGCTGGCATTGAGTTTATGGATTATGCACTAATATGGTGGGATCAATTGAAATCAAGTAGGAGACGCAATGGAGAACATCCTATCACTACATGGGATAAAATGAAAGCAATGATACGAAGGCGATTCATTCCAACCAATTACCATTGGGAGTTATTCAACCGTCTTCAAAACCTTTCACAAGGTAACCAAAGTGTTAAAGATTATCATAAAGAGATGGAGGTGACCATGATTCAAGCCAACATTGATGAGGATCGAGAAGCCACAATGGCAAGATTCCTAGCGGGACTTAATCTGAATATTATAAACGTGGTTGAGTTACAACATTATATGGAGATGGAAGACACGGTGCATATTGCAATAAAGGTGGAAAAACAACTCAAAAGGAAGGGTGCCACACGATCTTATGGGAGTGCAACTTCAAAATGGGGGTAAAGTTCATACAAGAAGACTCCTCTATTGCCATCCCATGAAAGAGGAGGACCACCCAAAGGAAGTAAGCCCATTGCTGAAACTAGCAAGGGTAAGTTTGCTGCCACTCTAAATCGTTCTCGTGACATACAATGTTTTAAGGACACATTGCAAGCCAATGTACAAATCGCAACACCATGCTTCTTCTAGATGATGGAGAAGTTGAATCGGAACAAGAAGAGGATGTGAATGAAGATGCTACCATTGATATGGAAGAATTAGAGCATGCCGTGGAAGGAGATGTTCTTGTTGTCAAAAGGAGCCTAAACGTGCAATCTAATGAAGAAGATGAACAACGTGAAAATATCTTCCATACTCGCTGCCAGATTGGAGGAAATGTATGCTTTGTTATTATTTATGGAGGTAGTAGCACTAATGTTGCTAGTACCTTAATGGTAGATACACTTGGCTTGGCAACAACAAAGCATCCACAACCTTATAAACTGTAATGGCTCAATGATGGAGGAGAAATCAAGGTGACAAAGCAAGTTCAAATTGTTTTCTCCATTGGGAAGTACAAAGGCGAGGTGTTATATGATGTCGTACCAATGTACACAAGCCATTTACTACTTGGAAGGCCTTGGCAATTTGATCGGCGAGTGATCCATGATGGTTATACCAACCGATATACATTCACCCATGGGGCAAGGAATATCACTTTAGCTCCACTTTCACCAAAGCAAATCCATGAAGATCAAATTTAATTGAGATAAAAATTTGAAAGAGCCAAAGAGAGAAAGACCAAAATGGAGGTAAAAAAAAGAGTGTGATCAAAATGAGGGAAGGAAAATCATAATTCTTTCTAAAGAGAGACAATTTAAAAAGTGTTTAATGACGGGAAATGAAGCACTTGTGCCCATGTACAAGGAAATGTTTTTGAAAACTAACTACCTTGATCAAAATTTGCCTGCTTTTGTTGTGCCTTTATTAAAGGAGTTTGAAAACCTATTTCCGGAAGAAATACCAAGTGGGTTGCCACCTATTCGTGGCATAGAACATCAAATAGACTTTTTTCCTGGTGCCGTCATTCCAAACCGACCAGCTTACCAAAGCAACCCCGAAGAAACTAAAAAATTGCAAAGGCAAGTATCTAAGTTGATGGTAAAAGGCTACGTGAGGGAAAACCTTAGCCCATGTGTCGTGTCGGTTCTACTTGTACCAAAGAAGGATGGAACTTAGCGCATGTGTGTAGATTGTCGAGCGGTAAACAAAATTACGGTAAAGTATCGTCACCCTATTCCTCACTTAGATGGCATGTTAGATGAGCTTAGATGCTCTAACCTCTTTTCCAAGATTGATCTTAAGATTGGTTACCACCAAATATGAATGTGTAAAGGTGATGAGTGGAAAACAACATTCAAAATGAAGCTAGGTCTTTATGAGTGGTTGGTTATGCCTTTTGGCTTAACTAATGCACCAAGCACATTTATGAGGTTAATGAATCATGTTCTTAGGACATTCTTGGGTAAGTTTTGTGTGGTTTATTTTGATGAAATTATAATATATAGTAAAACCATGGAAGAACATGTTCAACATTTGAGGTCAGTTTTACTTATTATGAGGAAGGAAAAACTGTTTGCTAATTACAAAATTGTATGTTTTGTATTGATAGGGTTGTATTCCTAGGTTTCGTTGTGAGTTCTGAAGGTTTAGAGGTTGAAAAAGAGAAGGTTAAAGCCATTGAAGAGTGGCCACGACCAACACACATTTATCAAGTTAGGAGCTTCCATGGACTTGCAAGTTTTTATTGGAGATTCGTCCCAAACTTCATCACCATAGCCGCCCCACTAACAAGTGTTATTAAGAAGAATTCTAAATTCTTTTGTGGGGAATATCAAGATAAGTCCTTTAATAGCATTAAAGATTGTTTAATTCATGCCCTTTTACTTGATCTACCTGATTTTAATTTAACTTTTGAAATTGAATGTGATACATCAGGTGTAGGAATTGAAGTAGTCTTGTCTCAAGGTGGATTTCCTATAGCCTATTTTAGTGAAATTTAAGTGGAGCTACGCTTAACTATCCTACCTACGACAAAGAGATGTATGCTCTTGTGAGGGCAATGGAAACATGGTAACACTACCTTTGGCCTAAGGAGTTCATCATTCACACCGATCATGAGGTGTTGAAACATATTTGGGGGCAGCATAAACTCAACAAAAGGCATACCAAATGGGTAGAGTTTCTTGAAAATTTTCCATATGTTATCGAGTACAAGAAAGGTAAGAAGAATATAGTTACCGATGCATTTTCACGAAGGTATTTTCTTTTAAACACTTTGGAATCTAAGTTGTTTGGTTTTACTTTTATTAAAGACTTATATGTTTCTAATAGTGATTTTGGATAAATTTACAAAGATTGTGAGAAAGGGACGATTGATAAATACTTTAAGCATAATGGTTTTCTATTCAAGGAAAGGAGACTACGCATCCCTCAAGGTTCCACGCGAGAATTGCTCATTAAGGAAGCTCATGGAGGAGGATTAATGGGACATTTTGGGATAAAAAAGACTTTGGCTATACTTCAAGAACATCTATATTGGCCCAAAATGAAACGAGATGTGGAAAGGTTATGTGAGCGTTGCATTACTTGCAGGAAGGCCAAATCTAAAGTTATGCCACATGGACTTTACACACCACTACCCATACCGGAAGCACCGTGGATGGATATTTCAATGGATTTTATGCTAGGGATTCCACGCACAAAGAACATCAAAGACTTCATCTTTGTAGTTGTTGATAGATTTTCCAAAATGGCTCATTTCATTCACTGTTACAAAACCAATGTTGCCTCACATATTGCTACTTTGTTTTTCAGGGAAATTTTAAGGCTACATGGTATTCCCAAAACTATTGTGTCTGATCGGGATGTGAAGTTCTTAAGCCACTTTTGGAGAGCCCTATGAAGTAAGATTGGTACTAAGCTACTATTCTCCACCACTTGCCACCCTCAAACAGATGGTCAAACTGAAGTGGTGAATCGAGTATTTCCATATTA